CATCTGTGCCTGCAAGAAGACAGCTTTTCATGGTCTAAAGTACCCAAGTAAATGGCACCTTTTTCTTAAGTACTTTAGTGGGTCACAAGCTCTAACAGGATGAACAGTATATGACTTGAAAAGGGGAGAATGTCTTTAGTAAACTTTTCTTTTAAATATTCAAGTAAAAATATCGTGAATATCGTGAGTTCATGACACATTACTCCAACAGACATTGATGCATTAGCTTTTTCCAGGCAGGTAAAGAGATGGTGAAGGCTAGGGAAACAGTATAGTAAAATGCAGTATTATTATAACTAAACAACATAAAATAGTGCATGATTTGCTGTCACATAGTAGCAAGATTTTCTTACTCATCACTTCTGAAGTTCATTAAGAGTGCTGTTTGAAGCTGGACAAAATGTTGGAGAAAGTGCCTGATTCCTCTAACAAAAAGTATGTGGTCTCAGGATGATTTAAGTGTACTCTCACAGCTGTACCTCTGCATGGTAAGTAATTCAATACTAAAGTGTAAGTTTAAAAACAAACAAACAAACAAAAAACATTTCTTGATAAATAAACTGTTTGATCCTTGCTGCCTTTGTTTCAGTTTGCTTATGGGTAACACCTATTTTACAGTGACACTGGAAAGAATTACTTGATGGGGACAGCACCCCCATCAAGTTTTTTCAGCAGAAAAGGACTTTGGGGTGCTGGTTATCAGCCAGCTGAACAAAGCCCACCTGTGTCCCAGGTGGCCAATGGCATCCTGGCCTGTATCAGGAATAGTGTAGCCAGCAGAACCAGGGACGTCATTCTCCCTCTATACTTGGCACTGGTGAAGCCACATCTCAAGTCCTGTGTCCAGTTCTGGGCCCCTCAATCCATGAAGAACATTGAGGTGCTGGAGCACGGAGCACGGAGGCTGCCAAAGGGTCTGGAGCACAAGTCCTGCGAGGAGCAGCTGAGGGAGCTGGAGTTGTTTAGCCTGGAGGAGGCTCAGGGGTGACCTCATCACTCTCTACAACCACCTGGAAGGAGGTTATAGCCAGGGGGGATCGGTCTTTTCTCCCAGGCAACTAGAGACAAGATAGGAGCATGTAGTCTTAAGCTGTGCCAGGGGAAGTTTCAGTTGGACATTAGGAGGAATTTCCTCAGGGAAAGAGTGACTAAATAGTGGAACAGGCTGCCTAGGGAGGTGGTGGAGTCACCGCCCCTGGAGGTGTTTAAGGAAAAACTGGACGTGGCACTAAGTGCCATGGTCTAGTTGAGATGTCCGTGTTTGGTCATAGTTTGGACTGGATGATCCCAAAGATCTTTTCCAACATGTAAGTTCACTACATAAATTCTGCTGACACAGGCTCACGCGAGCGACTCTCCCTGGGAAACCGTGACACGGATCCGCAGACGCCATGGGCGCCTGTTATTCAAGAGCTTTCACGCCTCCACACAACCAAAGTTGCCCTCGCGGCCTTCGTTGCGCGCAGGGCTGTCCCGGCGGGGCGGGAGCTGAGGGAGGCGAGGCAGCCCCAACGCCCGGCACCGCCGTCCCCGCTCCCGCGGCTCTTCTGTGCCACAGCCCCGCCGCTCCCGCCCCGCCGGCGCGACCCCGCTGCGCCTGCGCGTGTGCGCGGGCGCGGCCATGGCGCTGCCGGCAGTGCCCGCGCTGCGGCCCCGGCTGGCGGCGCTGGGCCGGCGGCTCGGGGCGCCCCGGGGCGCGGCCGGGGACGGTGAGCGGCACAGCGAGGGGGGACGGGCCGAGAACCAGGCGGAGGGCGGCCCTCAGGGAGGGGTGTAGGGCATCCCCGCGAACGGAGCGTGGGGGTCGGCTTGGGAACAGCGGAGCGTGCCGCGGATGCCCTCAGTTTAATTGTGAAAGGTGCGGGCTAACAGGACAGCTGGCTTGCTTAAGCGCTGTGCTACCCAGCTGCTGTTGTAAATACCGCGAGGGTGGATGAAGCCATGTGAAAAAGGAGAGGAAGCGAGGCTCCTGCTGAGTGCCTTTCAGTGCTAAGGAAGCATTGTGTTCTTCCTTCAGACACCTTCCTAGCAAAAGGCTCAGCTGCTCTGGAGAAGCTGAAGGACCTCTGTAACGAAGGGAAAGAGCCTCCTTCTGCTCTTTTTCAGCTCTATACCCAGGTATTGTATTTAAACCATCAAGCTGACTTTCAAGAAAATCTGTGTATATTGTGAGAGAAGCTTTGATGTAAAAAGGGGGATAGAGCAGAAAAGGATACCTTGTTACTTGGTGTGTACGGTGAACATCTGTGAAGCACGTGGCTGCAGTTGACTTGGATAACTTGGGAGCCGAGAATAATTGTACGGATACTTTTTATCCGAGAATAATTGTACGGATACTTTAGGGACAGAAAGGGGTTTGACTTTACGTTCACTGCCAGCAATCCTTCAATACTTATAACTTGCACGTTTAGTAAACAAAATGTTAAAAAATACCTTCAAATTGTATCATTTTATAAACTAACAAGTTTTCCATGTTACAACACACCACTACTTCATTATTTTGCCAGTAGCGTTTTTCTTTTGTATGTCTTCTTGTTTTCCTAGGCTGTCCTAGACATAACGTATTTTGAGGAAAACCAGCTTGTGGATGACGATTTTCCAGAAGAAACTTCCTTGCAAAAACTTAAAGAACTTATTTGTATTCTTTCAGAACCAGAAGATCTAGTGAGGGAATGCAACGTAGATGAAGAAGTGAGTACTGATGTTCTTGAGCCAGAGGATTAATTATTTCATTATTTTAAAATAAAAAATCTGAAACAGGATGGTAGTATTTGTATTTTTGATGGGCAGAACTTGAGGTATTTTGAAAGACTTTCAACTCTTTCTTGTATTTAAATACTGATTCCTGAAAATATTGTTTCAAATAACTTGTTGCGTGCTCAGAATTTCTCTCACTAACATTTTACGATTGTATGACACGTTAATGATAGTTTGATTTGGCCGTTTTCAGTATTCGGTTAGTCTTGTGTTTCTGAGTGTTGCTGTCAAGTACAGCCTCTGAAGTAAGAGACTCTTTGCATGTGTTGCTCTGTTTATAACTAGTTCATGTGGGTTATTTTTGTGTTAGCCCAGTTTGTTGGATTTTATTTCAGCCCATTAACATCCTTGGTGCAGAATTGTTAGAATGTCTTTACTGGAGGAAAGGAGCCCTGCTTTACATGTACTGTCATACAGCAAAAGAAAGGAGAGAATGGCTACAAGGAAACATTGCCACGTTTAAAAAGGTAAAGTAAATGAAAACATTCTATGAGCTTGTGAATACAGCTTTAAAGTTTGACTCTTCACTTTTAAAATATGGCTGCTTTTTTATCTTTTTTTTTTTTAGTAGGGTTTTGGGGAATTCATAGAAGTATTTCTGGCTACCATTAATTTAACCAGAACTTATTTTTTCCTCGTTTTTAACTATACTCAGTGTCTTAATGATGGAGTTCATTACTTGATGAAGATGCTTAGCTTTAGATGCCCTCTTCAGCTAAGTGAAGATGTCTTACTTCAAGATAAAGACACAGCTAGATTACTCAGTGAAGGTAAACAAACCCAAAAAACCCTGAAAAAACCCCACAACCCCCTCCTCTTAATAACTGCTTCACTTTATGAAGTGGTTTTTTGTGTGTTTTCATTCTTTAAATTTGTATTCAAAACCTGTCACTTTTTAGAACAAGAAGGTAATAATGAGGCAAATAAGCAGGCAGCAGGGCTCACCCCCTTCTTTTTTGACTCGTGGATTTTAGAAAGTGGTGGTGGTGATTTTCCCTGTGTTTTTGAGCACACTGGATGAAGGTGAACTGAGACTGCGGGTGTTTTATGCTGAGCATATGTGTTTTGCAGCCATCCAGTTGACAATTGACAGATGTTTAAGGCACAGATACGGCTGCAGAGGGTGCTAGATGTTTGCCTATTGGTCTGCCTGTTTAGCTCTAGGATAACACAGGTACAAAGAATTAAAGACTTCACACAGGTAAAAACTACATGCAGAACTGTTCAGATTTGGCAAATTCTCTCTGTCACTATATAGCTTTACGTAAGTTGCATTACTATAGAGCAATCTATAGAACTATCTTCTTTCAGTCTTGAATTATGGGAGGCACAGAAATATTCTAACATAAATATGCACAGTCATGCCTTTGCGTAATACTGAAATTCTCAACGATAATAGGCAAACATAATTATCAGAATTTTGGTTAGATGGCAATCTTAAAGATTTTAGCATTATGGAGGGCCAAAATGGACAGAGTAATAAGCACAGTCTTGATCTGTGTTCTCTTCTGGGCATTGTCAGTCATCCCAAGGTTAAGAGTTGGTTTTTTGTTTTACCTATTTAACAGGCTGAGACTGTCATTTTGGAATTTTTTTCCAGGAAACTCAAAAAAAAGTTAACAAGCTGTGTACTTTCTTAGAGCAATAAAGTACTCCATATAAATTATTTTTGCAGGTATATTTAGTGACACACACTTACTGGCAATGATGTACAGTGGAGAAATGTGCTACTGGGGACTGAAACACGGGGGAGAAGGGAAGCAGGAAAGCCCTGAGTCAATAGATCCTGTGTGTGACAGCAGCCTGGGCAGCGGAACACAGAGCGTGTGGCTGGACTTCCAAGAAACAGGGAAAAACATGTTAACGAAGTATGTGACCGTATGTGAGGGACCTTTAAAAGGCCAAGGGTGGAACACGACGACGGCAAAACAAATGTTGCGTGACTTTGTGAAATCCCACAGCTAAGATCCACAGCCGGAAGAAACCCCATGTCCTCGGAGCACAACTAAGGAGTTTTGCCTCTGCTTCCGTGTCTGGTTTTAATTTTTTTATTATTATTATTAATTTTTAAATCGAAATGTATACTTCTGCTGCATTAAAAAAAAAACCCACACGCACAATCTCCAAGAACTGGAATACCAAGGTCCAAAGTGTAATCAAGTATTTCTGAGGGGGAAGGGGGGGGGGGGGGGGGGGGGGGGGGGGGGGGGAGAGGGGGGAAAACCCCAACAAAACAAAAAACCCTCCCCACGCTCAAACAAAGCCGCCGAAGTAACCAGCCCTCGGGGCAGGATGGCGGCGCCTCCTCGGCGGTGCCAAAGTCCGCGGCGCCGGCGCGCTGCGGTGTGAGGGGCGGCGGCGGCGCCATGGCTGCTGAGGGAGGAGAGGAGCGGGGAGGAGGCTTGGAAGCGGCTGTGAGGGGTGGGCTGCGTGTCCTCCGGGAGCGCTGGATGCGGGGGGGCCGCGAACGCGGCGGGACCGCCGCGTTCGCGGCCCCCCCGCATCCAGCGCTCCCGGGAGATGCGGAGGAGGCGAGCGCCCTGCAGAGGCTGCCGGTGAGTGGGGCCCGGTCGGGACATCCCGCCTCTCCCGGCTCCGCCGCGGAACATTCCCGAGTCGCTTAAACCGCTGCTCTCCCTGGTTTTCAGATCGACGTGCAGCTGAACATCATGTCCTTCCTCTCGCCCCAAGATCTGTGCCGCCTGGGAAGCACGAGTAGTTACTGGAGGGCGGCGGTGCGGGACCCGTTGTTGTGGAGGTATTTTCTCCTGCGGGATCTCCCCCTCTGGACGTCTGTTGATTGGAAGTCGCTCCCAGATGTGGAGGTTTTTAATAAAGCCTTTTCAGAGGCCAGCGATAAGGCACTGTATGATTACATGGCAGTGTAAGTATCTTCGTGTTCCCTTACATGACTTTCAGTCTCTCTTCAGAAGTAATACTCAGCCCACAGGCATGTTTCATGTATACAGCAATAAAGCTCTGCTGTAATCTCCTGTTTAAATTTTGATCTTTTATCAAATCCATTGTTTATTTTGGAAATACAGTTTCCTGCTGTTCGATGGTCTGGTCAGCTCTTTCTGTTCGTAGTTCAACAGGAATGTAAGACATTGTAAAAAAAGAGCTAATTAAAGCTGTTCATAAACTATGCTTTGCTATGCCACAGAAATACAGTCATCTCAAAAGCTCTGCATACTGTTGATAAGAAGTGTTCTTTGCTCTCAGTACAATGGCAAGTGATTTCTTCTTTAATAAAAATACTAAGAAGTTTTCAAACCATGGCAAGTGGAATGAATTTTTATTTTTTTCATCTTACATGGAAGACCTAATAATAAAAAAAAGTTTTGTTGAATGTGCACAGAAGAACAAGTAGTGTTGCTTTAGCTCTGATTGTTGAATGCTGTAAAAGACTGGTTTCAGATAGTATAGCTGACAAGAATAGCAACACTCACAATGTGTTTAGATGACTGACAAGGACTTCTTAAACAAGCAGATTATTTTATGGGAAATTTTTTTTAACTTCATTCAATTCCATTGATTAATTTGTAGTAGTGGTTTGTGGGTTTGTTTGGGTTTTTTTATTTATTTGCAGTTAAATTTTCCAAAGGTGATGCTTAACGTGTTTTTTCATGTTAAATGGACTAGCTTCTGCAATCTCTGTGCCCTTCAGCCGCACTTTACAGACAGGAACAATGCACCCAGAATTTGAAGTGCAAAATATATACTGATTTTGAAATTGGATTTAAATCTCTTCAGGTCTGAATACTTCAGAGCATCACCTGTTTGAAACCACCTCCCACTGATTTCTATTGTGTCTGTGTGCACTTAGTGGTTCTGCTGATCTCAACTGAAGTACCTCAGTGTAGGTGTAGAAGAGCACACATTTGTTGTTTTTATACAAGAACTTAAGACTGATCCTTTATATGATCACGTCACATGGTGTAAATTTCATTTAGAAGTGGTTTGTCCAGCAACAGCCTACCATGACTGCAGAAGCAGACTGAAGCTGCTGCTCTAGGATATCTGTCTTACTCTTCCCCTTGGTTACCAAAGTCTTTTCATGCTTTCCAGCTTGTGCACCAAGCGAGCGCATAAGCTTGCAGACAACACTCATCTTTCACAGCATGCATGCTCTGTACCTGCAGGGGACATGGTCCATTTCAGGTGGTTACCTGTTTCAAGCACAGATGCAGTCTAATTAAAGTTTGAAATGCACTCACCAGTCTAATTTTCCTAATTTTATTTTTTTATGTGACTCATCTGCTTTGATGTTATTTTATCTGTATTGTGTGTTCAGTGAGGGTGGGGGAATGTGTAATTTTATTTTATTTTAAACAAACTGAATGATCTATTGATAGCAACATAACAAGGTCCAAAAAGTCAGTATTTGGACTTCAAAAGAACGGATGTCTTTGTCTGCTTTGTACTGGTGTTTGAAAGCATCAGTTTGGAACTCTATAATTTTTGACCTATGCTTTCTGAGTTGAACCAGTAGCAAAGCATAGAAAGTGTGGGACCTAAGTCAATTTATGTTGTTTGATTAATACCTCTTCTGTATCTTGTGTTTAATTTCTAGTTGCATCTATTTTACACAGATACAAAAAGAGCTGTCCTCAGGGTAGAAGAAGTTTGAGATCAAGCCGACCCCGGTATGGGGCTGTGACTTCCTTTCTGCAATCACTGGTCACTCAGGCAGAACCTCGCTTTGCCATGTTTGGGCCGGGTTTGGAAGAGCTGGACGACTCGTTAGTGCAAAAGATGATGACGTGCCCAGAAATTCTGGTAGTAGCTGGCCTACCTCATAGACAGATTCATGGTAATGATGGTTCTGGCTTTTGGCCTTTATATTTTGTGAACAAATATAACACAAAAAAATGCGGTTGGAGAAACAGAGAAAAAGGATGGGTTTTTTTGTCCTCATAAAAGTCAGTAACATCATGGAAAAAAACCATTTTCTTTCTTTGTATTCATTCAGAAGGATAAATGCAGAGAACATTTGGGACAAACTAATCGCTGCAGTGAATTTATGACTAAATTTGCACAATGTCAGAAGGATCGTTTTGCTCCTCGTACTTATTTCATCCGAAATTCCATGTTATAGCTCTTGTTGTAATGGATAAATGCAGACAGAACTTCATTTAGGTACTACTGCTTGCAGTGAGGGGTTAAAAAACACATTTTTGTTTTTATACAAGAACTCAAGACTGATCCTTTACATGATTATGTCTAATGGTGTAAATTTCATTTAGAAGAGTTACAGGAGCAGGTGAAGGATTTTTTTTGGTGTGTAAAAGAATAACTTTGAACATCTGTAATTTCACTTCAGTCCAAACCAGAGACAAAAATGTATTACTTTTTAACTAATGTTTATTTCAGCACATCAGAATTAGAATAATTAAACTGTATTTGTAGGAAGTGTGAAAATTATTTTTTAGTTGTTTTTTTTTTTTTTAATTTCTCTCCATCCTTTTCAATGCAGCTTGTCTTTAACAGACTAGAGCCTTTGCTATGACAATTTCAGCTGGTAAACACAAGTCTGCCTCCTTTCTGATTTGGGTTTCTAGGTTCAAGTCTAATTATCAGAAATACGGAAATGCCTCATTTTTTTGAATATAATTGAATTGATTTTCATTAAATTAATAGTCTGACCAATTAGGGCATGTAGAAAATTTAATTGTAAGATAGTAAATCTGCTACCCCTAGCAGCAGTATCTAGGCTTGAATATATCCATATTATAGCACCACTGGAATATTCAGACTACTACTTAATTATATTCAGTAACCAAGTAGTTGTAATCTCATATATTCATTTTTTCCCTGTAGGAATTGGATCAGGAGTCAGTTTTCAGTTTAATAACAGTCAAAAATTCAATATTCTGACATTGTACTCCACCACCAGGTAAGATAAGATTTGGTCTCTGCTAAATAAAAAGTACAGTTTCTCATTCATTTCATACCTTCCTCATCTTTTTGTCATGTGACTTCTATATGTGCATTCACATGCATCGAAATTCCCTATAAATTGAAGCATCAACATCTTTGCTTTTCCTTTCTTTTTTTCAATTGCTGAGTTTTCACATGGAAGTGATAAACCTTTTCCAAGCCTCTTACATACCTACAGTACAGGTGCTTCAATCCCTCTTGAAACCTTGGTTGATTCCCTTTTGCAACACTATATAAACTCGTCCCAGGGTGTATTTTCATATGCAGATTGCTAGCCATCTCTATATGAACACCAGGAAAGAAGGTGGGGCGGGAGGGAGCAAAATCGTTTTGCTGGTTCATACCATTTTCTTGTCCCTTTCCTCTGCTACCTAGACTCTCAGCATTGAGTTCTGCTTTCTCAGTTAACCTGACTACTGAAATATTGAAATATCTTCCAGTGTGGAAAGGAGGAGAGCAAGGACAGAGCAAGCTGTTGCTGTGAATAAGATGTTTTACCAAGAGAACAGCACAGAAGGGAATCAGCAAGCCGTGCACTACAGTGTAATAGATCAAGTGAAGAAGGTGTGCGAAGTAGTTGATGGATTCATTTATGTTGCTAATGCAGAAGCTCATAAAAGTAAGGGCTTTATCTTTATTTATTCATACTTTGAGAATAATTGGAATGTTATAAAAATTACAAAGAATATACAATACATCAAAATCCACATTCTCATCCTTTCAAAATCTGCTTTATTAGTGCTATTTCTTCATGGCTTATCCTGTGGAAGAGGTTCCCTATCCTAGACACTTTCTCATCAACCTTTGAGGGGTTATGGCTCCTTCTTTTGTTTGGGGCACATACTGATACGATTGCTATCTAAATTACATGTTGGAAATCATCTGGATTAAAAAACAACATAAACAAAACCCTTGGCCATGTGCAGGAGAAGCCTGAAATACATTGTTTGTGGTGTAATAGTCTGGAAACAGAACTTTCACCAGGAAAACTTCAGTAAAAGATGCAGTTAGTCTAAATTAGTATAGTCCTGTAAGAGAATAATCCAAATATTACTGTAACTGTCTTTACGTTCATCAGCTTTAAATGGAGAGAAAGGACTAGTTCAGAAAAGAAGTGGGGAAAAAAAAACGTGAAGGGATATACTAAGGAGAAAAGTACATCCAGTAGGGAAGAGCTGCTGACTGTACAGTATGTGAGTGTGTCTGAATGGCTTGTTGCAGTTTTGATCTGTGTAAGGTACTAGGAAAACACTGATGTTAAGGACTGAAATAGGTTGCCTGTAGAATCTATGGAGACCTTAAATAACATCTAAACATGACATTAATATTTGTGTGACATGAGTGCAGGTGAATCAGTATTGTGATAGGCAGAACTAGATCATTTCGCCCTTCCAGCCCTCTATTTCGTCACCTCTGAAATTAAAAAAGAAATTAAAAAAATCCTCCGAAATAACAACAAAATGCTTCCTTGGATTTGCGTGTATTTAAGACTCATATGTTAAAAATTGTTTCTCAGAGCATGATCGTCAGGAGGAATGGGCTCGTATTTTGGCCATGATTGATCCAGCCCTCGGGCCTCCAAACAGACCTCTGCTGGTTTTGTCCTGTGTCTCTCACATTGGTGTGGAAAGAATTCCATGTGTTTATGTGGCACATCAGTTGCAACTAAATCTGCTACGTCAGCCCTGGATGGTACTTGCATTTAAACCTTTATTCTCTGTTTCTCTTTTGACTTACGTTAAGTTTAGACTTTCAGGTTCCTGAACCACTGCTACCTAAGCAAGTGTGCAGCTTTTAACACTGGCACATGAGCCCTCCACTTAAGTGAGGGATTTAGTTTCTCTGGTCCTCTAAGCGGAATCATTAGTCTGTCTGAGAATAGGGAGTTCAGTGGCTTCTCCAGGAACACACAAGAGACTTCATAATGTAGGGAAGGACAAATGCTGGTCTTGAAGGGAGTAAGGAAGCTTCAGTTAATTTAAATCTAAATTACTTGAGTCATAACCCAAGGCCTTGGAAACAAGATAGATTTTTGGGCCATTTTTAGGAGACTGTTGCTCGCTTGATGTGATGTGTTCAAGTTTTTGACAAATCAGTTTTTTACATAGGATGTGAGGTCCTGAACCTGTTTTTTTATGCTTGTCAAGCACAGTATATGTTAGCATGATTCAGCCACATATAATTAATTTTTGTTAATGTTGTGTAGCTGAAGAATAATAAAACCAGAAAAAAACTAAATTTTTTTTTGAGATAATTCCTTCATTTTCATAAGGAAAATGTTTACAGGCTTTTAAAAACCCAAACTGTTTGTAATAACCTCTTGATAAAAGTTACAAAATCCAAATAGTAATAATATGTGTAGAAGTCTAGAGCTAGCAGCATTTTTGCTTTAAGAGTTACAAGAAGAATTTTCAAGTACATTGTCATCTGTAAATTAAGGACAGTGTTCCAGAATACCTGATGGAATGATTGAGAAAAAACACACATTGGTACCAAGAGTGAAAGCTTTTCTGATGGGTTTTAATGTGGTTTTTTTTTGTTTGCTTACTCTTACGGAGCCTTTTTTATCTAAGGGACCTTTAGACCAATAATAAAAATTTAGATTTTATATGGTTGTTTCTGACTTCATGGATGGACATGGAGTGATGTTAAAATACTGTTAGATCCTGTTACCTGATATCTCTAATACATTAGCTTCTTTTTTATTTTCACAGGTGCAGGACAATGTAGCTGCAACTTTAGATGGTTTGCTAAATGGAATTGAGTGGCTCTTGGAAGAAGCAAATTGTAAAAATGCACAGTAATGGAACTGTGTATTGTTGTACTGTATAAACCCTTTGGCATTTTGCATTTCATTTAGCGTGAGTCTTGTCCTTCCTGCAGGGACGCTGTCAGAAGGAAAATTTAAAAGACGACCCTGCATTTATATCACCGCACATACTTAACATTCTTCCAACTACAGTCCTGAATTAGAAGTACAAGTAGGATTGCTTGGATTCCAGCAGCTATGAAGTAATTGGGCGGGTCGGTTTGGGTGTTTTGGTTGTTTTCCTTCTTTCAGCCGGGGGCCTTCAGTACAATCTTGTCAGTATATCTGATTGTCTGTTCTCTTCAGTAAATACATGTAACACTACATTAGTTTATCAGCACAGCTCTGTGGCAGGCACCACACGTTCAGTCAACATTTTCAGTGGAGATCTCGACAGGGACAGTTCCCAACCAAAGAAAATATACTGTACTTAGTACAGTAGTAGGCTGACAGAAAGAATTCCCCTGCATTTTTTCCAGAAACAATGTCTAGACAAAAAATAGCAGAAGGAATGTCAGTCAGACCAAAATTCTTAGAAGCAAACAAGCAAACTGCCATGTATGAATTGTTGTTTCTTATTTGTGATCCTGTTTATTAACCAACCACGGTAGACTTCAGCATCTTTCTTTTTCTGTTGAAATTATTTAAGCTTGAACTGCACATACCTCTGATGTAACGAACAGATGTTAAATAGAATCATTAGTACTTCAGAACTTTATCAAATACATAAACTATCAGTTACTGAAATAGTTGTGGCCATTTCCAGGTATGAATTGTACCTGTCTTTGAAATTTTCTACACAGTTGGAAATATTTTTATAAGAAGGGAAGTAACATTTTAAAGCTGGAATTGCATTTTCCATAGAGATGTTTGAGATAGTCATAGTCTTCCACCTTTTTTGTGTTTTTATTATTGGATGAATGTTCAGAAACTTCCCTTGGATTTTTTTGCCTGTGCACTTATTTACTTTCTGTGCTTCTTGCTTGTTTTCCTCTCTCCATGGAAATTCAACAGTCTCACAACTTCTCTTTGGAACCTAGATAAATAATTGCATGGTGCACAAACAGCTGTAACTGCCCTTTGTGTGGGAAGTGTGAGTGATGCTCAACACAGCTATGTCAGAAATACTCCACTTGAGAAAATGGTTGGATTTTTTTTAATGACCTAGAAAATGTCTTTTTTTTAGTCTTTATGCGCAATTAATTCAGCTTTCTAAATGCTTTTGGACATATGGGAGTTTCAAGGGAAAATCCATAGGAAGATATACTGTGAAAATTCTGTGGTTTATCCTTTTTTTAATAGTGTATGCGTGTTTTGCCCTTTAAAATAGAGCAGATGCAATAGATTCATGAGTATTTAGGGTAAAATTCCATGCCTTGTGACTGGATGTGTGCGACTTTCCTTCTAGTCCTAATAATTTCATAGTGATCTGTAAGTAGAGGGTCGAATGCAGCAACCTGATGCTACGTCAGCTACAGATATGGGGGGTTTATGTAAGATCATCATTCTACTTTCTTCACAAGGAATAAATTATTTTTTAAAGAACGATGTTTACAGTCTTTCTATGTGTGTTAAGCCCTCCACATGTGTGCAATGCGTGCACACATACTGCAGTCATGCTGTCACAACATAATGAATTAGCATTGCTATCATAATGAACAAGGTTATTTTATGTTGCCAGTTTAATTAACAGATATTCACTCACTGTCCTCTCAAAAGGTCAGGATAACATAGGGTATATAATTTTTTTTAATCTAAAGAACATTAGTTACGTTAACTTAAAGGTAGAATAACTTCAAGAATTATGAGTTTTAAGGGTGCAGTCTAGAAAACAAACAGTGGGAATGAGAAGTCCGTACAGTCACAGATCTGCATGATTGAGTGCCGTGGTGGATCAGTACAGGCAAGGAAGATGACCGTGTACACTGTCCAAAAGAGCACTGAGATGCACAGAGGTGTGCTATGGAGAGGCAGCCAGCCTGTTGAGCGTACATACACCAATTAGTTGCAGAGATGTACTCCATATCTAATTTAGCACTATCTTTTATCTTTAAACTAAACCAGTTTCTACTATTTAAATTTTTGAGTTTGATGAATTTAGAAGCATAGTTAGTCAGTTAAGCTTGGGACTTATTCAAATTGTTACAAATTCAAAACTAGTTTGATGTGGAATCATGACATAAATGTATTTTAAAACTTTTTAATGTAAAACTTTTTTTTTTAAATCTAATTGGCCTTGTATTTATCACAGTAGAAGCAACTGTGATGGGTTTGTGAGAAATAAAATCATCTGGATCCCAGAAATCTTGCTCTCCTTGGCATGAAGGATTCTAAGAGTGCTAGAAAGAAAATTGCTTTCCTGCCCACTGAGACAGGATGTTTACATAAACAGTGGTCACAAAATAAAAGTAAAAGGTTAAAATGGCAATACACATGATGGATAAGAAAACTTGGTTAGTGACGCTTCACCTGAACAGCTTTCCCAAAAAGAAGGTGGCTGTGGGGTTGCTGATTTTCAACATGATTTTCAAAGACAGGGGACATGCTGCTTCTTCTTTTAATCTAGTGGCTATCATCAGTATCAGTTTGTATGGTAGCATGAATTCACAGCTAAAGAGAAAAGCTGGAGTCGCTGTCAAGAAGATGTATGGAAATAATTGCTGGCATTATTGCAAGATGATTGATGCTTTAGTCTGTTATTTAGTGTGTCTTTCATGCCATTTTAGCACTAGTGGTTCTGGGTAACTGGTTACTTTCCTGAAATACAAGAATAGAGAAATAAGACTCTTCTGTCAGTTATAGAAGGTGATACTATTGCTAGAGCTTGTGCTTAAATTTCAGGCCCAGAGGGTGTTTGCACACAGGCTGCTCTCAGTTTTCCCTGAGGAGGATGAAACTGCAAATCAAGAGCCTAGAATTAGCTTTGAGTAAAACTTACTACATCATTCCAAACAATTAAAAACCAAGAGGCTTTTTGCTCCTTTTTCTTCCCTCGCAGGCAGATATCTTACACAGTGTGTTAATTCTGACTGTTATAATATTGTTTGCAATAAGGTAAGGATACTAATAAAATGAACTGAAAGACAAGAGGGAGAAAATAAATTAGACAACTTTTCTCATGATGGAGGAAGAACTAAAGGAATATCCTACCTACAGCAGGATGTTTATGTGTTTTGGATTTTGTTATTCTGCTATTTTGCTCTGAGGCACAGAGGTGCCCTGCAGCATTATTAATGGGAAACAAAATGCATACAGATGTCGGCAAGAGCCCTGTTAGCATTCTGCCTTCTCAAGAGGACCCTCCTTTTTTTATGTCTTTGGATCTGCAATGAAACTCATTACATGGATGTCAAAAGTCAATGTACCAGGAGTCCAGTCCTGTTTAATCTTTATTGATGATCTGTACAAGGGGATTGAGTGCACCCTTAGTCAGTTTTTAGATGACACCAAATCGGCTGGAGGAAGGTAGGAAGGCTCTGCAGAGGGGTATGGACAGACTGGATCAATGGTCTGAGGCCAAGGGTATGAGATTCAGCAAGGCCAAATGCTGGGTCCTGCCCTTGGCTCACAACAACCCCAGGCAGCGCTACAGGCTGGGGGAGAGTGGCTGGAAGGTAGCCCAGTAGAAAAGGACCTGGAGGTGCTGATCGACAGCAGCTGAACATGAGCCAACAGTGTGGAATATACTCTTGCCTGGTACAGGGGGACAATCACTGCCCTGGTCCTGCTGGCCCTGGATTTTTGATCCAAGCCAGGATACCATTGGCAGTGATTGTCCTCCTGTACTCGGCACTGTTGAGGTAGCATCTCAAAACCTGTGTTCAGTTTTAGGCTCCCTACCCCAAGGAAGACATTGAGGTCCTGGACCAAGTCCAGAGAAGGTCAACAGAACTGACCAAGGATCTAGAGACTAAATCATATGAAGAACAGCTGAGGGAGCTGGGGTGGTTTAGCCTGGAGGAGGCCCAGGGGAGACCTTACTGCTCTATACAATCATCTGAAAGGAGGTTGTAGCCAGGTGGGGTTCAGCCTCTTCTCCCAGGCAACTGGCAACAGGACAAGAGGACAAAGCCTTAAGCTGTGCCAGGCAGGTTCAGGTTGGACATTAGGAAGAATTTCTTCATTGAAAGGATTGTCAAGCATTAGAATGGGCTGCCCAGGGAGGTTGTGGAGTCATCATCCCTGGAGGTGTTCAAGAAATGACTGGATGTGGCACTTAGTGCCATGGTTCTAGTTGACAGGGTTGTGATCTATCAAAGGCTGAACTAAAGATCTTAGAGGTCTTTTCCAACATATATGAATCTATGATTCTATGATTTTATAAGAATTGCTGTTACTGATTTCATGTGCATCATTATTTCCATTCTAGCTGTCACTAACATGCCTATGTCCCTCAACAAATAAGGAACTGTGATGGATGACTGTGAAATCTAGTTATTCAAGAAGAACACTCAGTATTTCAGTCCTGAGTCTTAACTAAATCACACCTGCTTCAAATTCAGCATATTATATCGGAACACTGCAACAAGAATCACCTGTAATTTAATACCAACATTGTAAATAGGCTACTTGACTGCAGACAATTCTGTAAAGTCCATTCACACACAAGTTTCCTGAGCCACAAATACACCAAACAAACTTAATAATCTTAACAATATAAGTCCACCAATAATCACCTCAATCCATTTCTGGAGATCTTCATTGCCAGTAGGATGAAAAAGAAAGGGATCAAATGGTAAACGGGGGGTAGCTTTAAGGTAGGTAAGATAGATAGTTGAGGTGCTGAGGCCTGAACAACAGGCCCTGAGCCAAAGTTTACCTCTAGATGAACCTTTCAACCTAACGTTATATTTAGCCATGTATCCACTCATTAGAAAAATTAGGTGTGCTTCTCAGTAAAATATGTAGTATGATAAGACTACATGTGTGTAAATATGTATGCTTATTAGTAAGATATATTTGTATATGCTCATTAGTGAATAATAATTGTATCTGTTCATTATTAAATATGTATGACTCAGTGAAATATGAATGTATTTATCTTTCCGTATTTAGAGACTGGTCAGTGCCATGGAATTAGATGTCTGGCCGTGTTTGGTGACATATTGTCAAAGCTTGGTTTTCCCCTGAGCCTTGGCCAGGCTTTGGTTGAAACACAAGGAGAGAAGGAAGCCAGATGTTTTTCTGCACTAGCGGTTATGTAAGCTTGGTTTGTTTAACAATATAAAAGCTGGACCTTTCACAGCAATGATGGATACCTCACCTATGAGTGGACACACTGAGTAGGATTTCCCAGTTACTGAGAAGGGTTCTCTGACCCTTTGCTGCAACCGGGGCTCCCCAGCTGATGTGTGGGTCTGGATGCTGATTATGGTATCAGGGTAACTGGTGATGTATCATTCTTATAGGCACTCTTTGTAGTAATGATTAGCTGCATTGCTGAGCTTATCCTTTTGTAATTCTTTGCTGTTTTGCATTATAGTAAAATTACACACTTGTTCCTTGAGGTTGGTGTCTGTGTCTCTTGTGCTGCCCCTCATGCCCTTGGCAAAACAAATTGTCGTCATGGTGCAGATCTGAACAAAATGTTGCTTTGTAAATCTGAATGTAAGGGATCAGTCCCATCCGACATTCCTGGCTGGAATGACTGTGGTAGAGCAAGAGTCCGACTGGGAAAGTTTTAAAGCCTGGAGAGAAATTTACGGTGCATAAAGAGACTCCATCTTATGGACTTGACAGTTTATCCCCAGTTTAGATATTGTTTTTGTAATGTCCCCATGTGGTTATATTATCCCCATTCACTTGTATTGCCTGGGCATGTCCAGGCTTGCCCAGAGTTGTTTATCCCCTACCTTCCCTGCTCCTCCCTCTGATTGGCTAAAAAATGCCGCAGTGTGGAGAGAGCTCCCATTGGCCCTTTACTTTCCCAGCTCCTTCCCAGTTCCTCCCTCTTTTCTAAGTTCTTACCCTCATTTGTTCCCCTGGCTGTCTATCCCATGCTCCACCCAGTTTTCTAGCCCTTTCCATACCGAACCCTATATAAACCCTCACACACCCTCAATAAAGAGCCATTGCACCTGACCTTCGACCTCGAGTCGAACCCTTTGTGCAGTGTTGCAGTCCTATTCCTTCTCCTCCAGACCGTGGCAGATGACCTTCCCTATAGTTCATTGGCTCTCATGTGGGCAAAGGTCAGAGGACTGTGCAAGCAGTGGGGAAGTCACTTGAAAAATGCTGAACCACTGGATATATTGAAATGCATCCAAAAATTGTATATTGAAAAAAGGAAAAGAGCTTGTGGATTTGGGTAGATGAGGATGGATTTTGTTAACTACATATCTAAAACAGCACCAACAGAGAGAACAATTGTTGTTGAAACGCTCCAATGTGGAGTGACAGGTATGTGAATTGCAGAATTGCAAAAAAGAAAAGTTTGGCTCAACCCTTTAATCAATTCATGTAAATTCTTGTCATATCAATCAGGAAGAGAGGTTAAAATAATGTTTTTTGAGAGTAACATACTCTTGTAGTGTGCCCATCTGCGT